AAATTTCTGATTCTCTTTCCTGCTTTAYTTGTAACGCTTTTTTAATTACAGGTAAAACCTTTATGGTTTTCTTAGCAGCAACTTTAAGGTTGGTTGTTATTGCAATGAAATCAAGACCTTTTGATAGCGCAAGAGCGTTTCAAAGTAACCAAGAGCCTAGAWATTCATGCTCTTCTCTGATGATACGTGAGATACCGAAGTTCAGGAATCACTGTCTGTATCTCCTGGTTCTGTCAAAGCAGGTAGCTTTCAGCACAGTTTTTTAATAGCTTTTTTGAGAAATGTATACTCTGTTTAAATGTTCTCATCAAGTTTAACTTGTGTAATGGTTGAAATAATGCAAGCTTGAGCTGGTTAAGAATTAAAACCAGACCCAGCTTTTGCAGTGAAAGAGCCTCATGGGGGCAGGAGAGGACAGGCATGTAAAATGATTATTGTGCTGAATGGCTTCTTTTCAGCTTTAATTATGTATTTCTCCTCTACAGCATACCTGAAAGCTCATGGTTAGATTTTTCATATGCAAGAAAAAGTAGCTGCTTAATATTTTAAAAATGGCCAAGGCTTCTAAGTTTCTAATGTAACTCAACTAAATTCAATAGGGAATTCTACAATGAATGTTAATAGTATGAGAATGGCTTAAGTTTATGCAGTATGGGATGTGGGATTCACAGTATGTCTATAGACTGTATGTACTGCTGCACCTTACCATGATAGCAAATGTAATGACTGCGTGCGCTTCCAAAAGCTATTTTCTCATTTTGTCACTTCTATGGTGACCCTGCCAGGTTGTCAAAAAATCATAAATGTTAAAGAAATATTTAACTGTTAATTTTACTTTAATATGTCCAGGTCTCCTATTTAAAACAAAAAACCCACAGAGTTTTCATTTTAAGATCTGCTAATAGTGCAAAGTACTAATCCTCTGAGCTAGGACCATTTGTGCATGTACTTCACATGAATTTCTTGGTGTTGCAATACAGTTAGAGACYGAGTGGAGAACTATTCTAATGAAAACACTGATGTACTTAGGTTGTATGTGGTGCATGATCACTTCAAGTGTTCAKAGAATTGAAGTCTAGTCTCTTACTCTTGCAATTTAGATGCATCCTGGTAGCTGTTTTTATTAAATTCTTAGTACAGTGAACATTGAAATTTGATAGCTTAGAGATCACCCTGTTACAGTCCTGACTCGGTCTACCTCCTCCTGACAGGAGCAGCATAAGTTGCTCAGGCCCTCAAGAGAGAGAGTGCTGGTTTCCAGTGTATTTCATTGGGATTCTTTAACCTAATAATGAAGAGCAGAGCTTAAACTGAGGAAAATGACTGATTTGACATAAATTTATTTATAAAACTGTTTKTCTTGCAACAAAACAAAATCTACTTCCCTGTCTGCTCTTTGAACTTTGCTCCAAGTTCAACTTCCTACTTTCATTCTGAGACTGCATTTTTCATCAGAATTGGCTTTCTCTAAATATGTAAGTCCCACAACTTTTCTCTCCTTGTACATGAAGGAGAAGGAGTAATACAAGAACCGTAGCACAAATTCTAAAGAAAACTAATTATTGGTAATATTCTGATTACCTGTTTTGCACCAGAATGGATTGTGCTCTTGCTGGAAGGGGAAATGGGGCAGACCCAAACGTAGGAAGCATTGCCTGCATCCTCCCCAGCAGTGCAGTTATGGTCTTGCCTAGTTATCTGAGGGAATGATGGGGATAGAGCATAGCCAAGAAGCTGTCTACACTAGTAAGCATTTGTTGCAGCCTCTTGAAGTGCTGCGTATTTATCACAACCACAGACCTTTCGAGCTCTCTGAAGCGCAGAAGCAAAGGCATTGACTTGGTGTGGTTGTCAGGACGGAGCTACTATGCTGACTGCAGCAGCCTTTGTTCAGAAACCTATCACACTTGTAGTTGGCTGCAGTTTTGCAAGCTCTCACCTAATGTTCATGTTAATTTTCATACAGGCTGATGGAGAATTTGCACATTTAAACACTCACCATGCCMCCTGTAAGCTCCACATCTCTCATTCCTTTTTATCAAATTGTACCTGTGATTCTTACTCTTAGCCCTGCTAAGTAATTACTAATCTTAATGGAATTTTGCAACTATTCTTCTAGCAGTCTTTCAAACTGCCTTTAATATCTGCCATGCTGCTTTCTGGACAGAATTCTGCCAATGACATTACAGAAAATATGTTCTTTACTATAATCCAATTGCTCTAATTCTGCCTTCCAATTACTAGCATTCCTATTACCACTTAATACAAAATCATGAAGATCCTTTTTGTAATCCCTTAAATTGAATTATCTCTAAGTATCCACAATGCTATACTGTTCTAATCCATACTTCTAATAACTTTTAGCATGGTGGTGGCAGAAAACCTTTGAAGCCAAAAGGCAGTGAAAAACCTAAAACTTGTGACACTAGTCATCGTTACTATTCTCTTTATGCTTGTATATTGCTATGATAAACTGAAAATAATTTAGATTTTCCTTAAATTCTGTTAATAGAGTACTTAAACAGCATAAATTCCCTTACCCAGCAGGATGCTGCTACAGTATCTGTGATAAATTCTCAACATTCATACAATATTTACTACAAGTTTTGGGCTGCAATGCTTTGGGCTTGTAGAAGTTGGTAGAACTTCACTATTAGATTAAGTACTTGAATAAGATTCAGAACATCTGGTATCTTGGTCAGCTCTGAGGACACGGTGTTCCAGGCAGTGTTGCACTGATGCCACATTATGTTCCCTGCACTTCAGGGTGATCTGAGGTGACTTGACTCAGGTGACTACTGTGGCCTGCGCGTTACCCTGCTGTGTCATGAGAATAGGTGGACACCAAACCACAGATTTCATGCAGTGATAAACAAGGACCAAAGAATTAGGAGAAAAACAAGAGGCACTCAAATGAGTAAATACATACATATACATTTTCCTCAGATGGAATCCGAAGGATCTATTGAGAATATTAATAAGATTTCTCTTGCCTCTAGCTTGCTGCTTTGAAACTGGCTTAAACAATCTCTCCTTTTATCACCTTTCTTTTGCAGTCTATGCTATTGCAGACATCAAGAAGCATCATATCTGTGATATCACAAGATGCAGAACATGCAGATGTGCTCTGGATAGAAATTATACCAGCTGTTAGGTTATAAGATGGAGTTGAGGATTAGGTATTTTAGGAGATGCTGTGAATATTTACTACCTGCTGTCTGAAGGGACCTACTGAATCCCTGTAGTTTTCCTATAGAGTGCATTAGCAGAGATRAAGCTGCTAATTTTGCTCTGCTAACCAGCCTGATGTACTTCTGGTGAAAGAAGCAGTCAGCAGTGCYGTAAGCTTATACTTCTCTATAGACTCCGTTGCACCCAGTTACATCACAGCCACCTGTGTTTCCAAAGTATTAAGAGGGTGACTCTTTATCTGTCCATAGMAATGTTTGCAAGAATTATACTATTTGCTTTGCAGAAAGGCAACATCAGTTGCCTGCTGGTTTAAGGTATTTCACTAACCCTGAAAAAAGTGAACGCAGTTCTTAAAGCTAACAAACTTTTGAGGGTGCCTTGTATTCATATTAATAAATATGAATTCAGGCTTTTAGTTCCCTGGGTGGGCCACAAGTACAAATATTTCATATTGCAGTTGTGAGTAAAAACCAATTGACTAATGTGTAAGGTCTAAATWGAGGCCTGCAGTCAAAGCACAGATGAAAAACTTAACAGCTGTTTTTGTGCTGTTTTTCTATCTACGTAAAAAATCTCATTGTTCATTTTATGCCTCTCCTAAATGTTGTATCTTCAGTGCAGTGATGGTTTCTGTTAGTAAATGATTCTGAATCCTGTGAATAGGAGACTTCAATTCAAAATTGCCCTAACTAATTTTTTCCCAGATTGTATTTACAGACATGAGAACTTCCCTGCTTCCTTTTTAATATTCCCAGATGTCATGTAAGAAGCAGTCTGAGCAGCAAAGTTGATCCATCTGCAAATGAATGATAGATAATACATCTCTGGCCCTTACCCCCGTAACTATTAATATAAAACAGCAGCAAGCTCACTACGGCAGGCAGCATTTTACTGGCTCTGTATGTGGTCACCTATCTCTATAATTTCTSCTGGGTCCCTTCACATGCACTCCGTGCTCTCAAAGGGCTTCCTGAATTGCAGAGGGCACCCAGAGGTGCTTGCCTCATTTAGGAGATGCGTGTGCACCGATGGTTAACAGTTTGGCCCTAACCATTTTGGTTTTCCTAAACGGTTGGAAAACCTAAAGTTGGAATAAAGTTTCCTAAAGTTGGAAAACCACTTTGGTTTTCCTAAAGTGTTACTTGTAAAGTACTTGGTTCCTTGTGGTATACGCCTCTAGTTCAGTTGCATTGCTCATGTGTTTATTAAAACTTCATCTGCTCTGCACACCGCTCTCAGGAGTGGTGAAAGGGTCTAAAACAGCAGCCTTAACAACTAACGTTGCCTTTCTCCTGAGCAAGTGGCGTAATTCTTGCAAACATTGATATGGGCAGATAAGAGTCACTGTTATCAAATAGTGATTGCTATCTTAAGACTCTATAGAGAAGTGCAACTTCTCCATTTGAAGCAGCAGATAAAAGTTGCTGCCTTTATGGTGAGAAATTAGTACATGCTAAGAAATGTTATAAAAATACTCAGTGTATTAACTCAGGAGTCAGCAAGGTGAAGAGTGGTAGGTGAGGTAAAGCCTAGGGGATTTAATCTTTTTCTCTGTYGCAAATAGAAGTTCTTGCTGAAGTGCTGCTTCTAGCTTCCCTTTTATATTGGTGAGAGACCTATGGAGGGAAGTTCCTTTAAAATGTGGCCTTTCCTGTTTTTGAGAAGGAAAAAACACTTTTTTCCCCCAAACCAAACAAGAATAATAACTTCATACACTAAATTCAGAAAAATGCTCTTAAATTAACATGTAAAGCTTTATCTTCCCTGTATTTATTTTGGTTTGCAAAATCAAATTAATAGCACTCAAGTATCTCTGGCTGCTGCACAAACAACTTCTGATAAGGAAGATGTAGTTAGTCTTTTGTAGTTTCTCTGTAAAGATAAGTTATGTGGCTACTATGCAGCTGTCCAGAACACAAGATACAGAACACTGTGATACATTTCTTAGTAATCGGTAGTTATCTTAATCTTATCATTACAAGTCATTGGCATAAAGTAAACAAAGGAAAACTAATCATGTTAGGCAAAATTGAAGCTTCAAAAGAAAACATTTATGCATGCTACATAGTTTCTTTTCTCAGCTTGTACATGTTTCCAGAAATAAAAAATTCCTTGCAAGTTCAAAATTTACTGCGCTTTTAAAGGTGAAGTCCATTTTCTTCTATATATATATAAAATCTTGTATGAAAAACCTGTTTTCTTACAAATTGCACTTCTCAAGATGACAAATGTTCTGCACTGCTGGCATATGCTTCTTGCAAGTAAAATATAACAAGGTGGCTCTTCCTTCCCCCACAAATTATCCTGACAACTTAAACTGTCTGATTATAGTATGTGTATTTCATATAAACAGTCCTTGCTATTTTTAAACTGGCCTAAATACAGTCCTGAATAAAAACAACTTTATTTACAATGTATAAAGTTTCATGTATAATTAAAATACTAGTCTTTTCTAGAAATTGCAATCTTGATGGAAAGTAAAAATGCTGCAGTCCTCCTGGTTTTGGCTTCTGTTACCTTGTCGAAGTTCTCAAGAGAACTGAAACAGTGATAATACTGTGATATGGAACTGAATTTGAYTGTTCCTGTACATTCTTCTAATACAAAAAATACATTCTAATGACATTTACCCATCTAGCTTCCTCTGGAGTAGACAGGCTATTCCTTGATTTTTCTGTCGGTATTTTCCGGAAAGAAAAAAAAAAAACATGAGGTGAAAGGGTTGCTCGTTGAATGCCCCAGAAACCTATTATTTACTTGGAATAGGAACCATGTTAAAGATTCTCTGTGCTTTTTGTAGTATTTTCCTGCTGGATTACCGTGGAGCTCTTTTTCCTGTCTTCCTCAGTTACCGTCTGACTCATTTGCTCAAACAGCTTTGATATCTTGGCAAATCTCAGGTGGTTTTGGAATTTCCGTGCGGCAAAGGCGTAAAGCAGAGGGTTAATGCAGCTACTGATGAATACGAGAGCTCCAGAGATGTACACGCCTATGTCTAAAACTTCATCCAGTGCCAAAGACACTTCTTTGTTAGTAAGTTCTATCTGTACTGAAACGATCTCCAGGATGTTGAAGAGATGATGTGGGAGCCAACAGAAAATGAACGCTACAACCACGCTGGCGATTAACTGTTCAGAGCGACGCTTTGATTGGTAAGTCATTCTGCTAATTCTCTTCACAACACACACGTAGCAAGTGCAAATTATAAGAAAAGGAATTACAAAACCTGCAAGAGTTTCCAGCAAAAGATAGGATATTTTCTGTCTGTTAGAAGAATAATTGCGACATGTGCATTGCAATCCACCACCCATTTTTTCTGTCTCTTGAAATGGGATGACAGAAATTCCAAAAGTAATAGCCAGGAACCAAATAAGGAACATGATGACAAAAATATTTTCTTTTGTTTTATATCTCTGAATTGTGAATGGATAAAACACAGCCATTAATCTCTCCAAACTGAGAGCAGTAATCAGAAATATGCTGGCATACATGCTGCAGTAAATGATGAAAACCAGTATTTTGCAGAAGATGGTTCCAAAAACCCAGGAGTCGGCAAAGGAGTAAATCCAGATTGGCAAAGTAATCAGTACTAGGATGTCTGCAATGGCCAAGTTCAAGATTAGCAGGACTGAAGGAGAGATTTGCTTCATTTTTGTACAAACAGTCCAGATGACAATGCAGTTTCCAGGAGTCCCAATAACAAACGACAAGCTCAGGATTATGCAGACTACTGACCTCTCAATGTTCCATGTTGAGTGGCTACTGTTATCCATGGTGTGAGTCATCCTGGAGATTCTTCAGTTTCTTTGGGATATTAGTAGCTGCTGTGTGGGGCACTGGCTTCTTTTTTCCAAAGGGACGAGTTACTTCAGAGAGTGTCCCTTGGACTGGAAGGTGCAAAACGAGACCATAGCTGATGTTCTGGACACAAGCACATAAGCTCACATCCTATAGTTCCCTCTTGCAATGAGCTAACCATGTATGGTACTTCCTGCTGTTTAGGAAGATAGTATGTGTTCTTGCAGGCAAAGCAAAAACAAAAATAGCCTGTAGTACCTGACTCGCTCTTAGTTACATCTACCCTCCTCCAACAGATTTGAAAGCATGGAGGTAGTATTTTAAAAGAATCCTTACTTTAATGTTTCTTGCTTAGAGTTACTGACCTAATCAAAAACCATAGCGAGAAAGAAACTCTATGCTGTTCTACCACGCTGTGTGAACAGCTCAGTGTTTCAGTTTAGAAAAGAGAATATAATGAAAAAGCTGGCAAATGTCTGCTGTATTATTAATGTAAGAAATTGTAATCTAAAGCATGGAAATTTATTGTGCGTACTGCCTTATGTCATCTTTTAAACTCAACAGAAACCAGCCAATCTTGACTTTGCTTTAGAAATACCCTGGCACAGAGGAAATCAGCTTGTGCAATACTAGAACTGTACTGGTTTGGCAGAATTGAGTGGGGGATGTATTCCTAATTTTGGGGAAGTGCAGTCCTTTAGCCAAGTAACTGCCCTACAAATAATCTGGCGATAGGGATGGGAAGAAATGCTCTGTTTTGGAGAGATGCAGCCTATGATTGGGTTGTTCTGCTCATGTGCCAGCACCTGCCTGTGTCTTTAACAGCTAGGAAAAGCAGGATTTAGTATATTAAACTATTCAAATGCTGTTTCTCTGAGGTATGTTCCTCAGTGTCTGGGCAAAGAATCTGGAAGTATTTTGTGGCCCTGATGTCAACACTTGCTTAGRTTTTTTTATTTCTAAAAAGTTTCAGGAGGAAGTAAAACAGCAGCGCCAACAAAAGTGGCCAAGTGTCAGGGAAGTGAAACTGGAAGGGTATTYTACTTGAAAAGGACCCACAGAAAAGTTATGCATAACTCTTTTCTTTAAACTTTGAGGTAATATTTTAGAAAACCTGGCAAATGTCATTCATTAGATTAAGTATCTTTCCTTTGAAAAAAGGTCTGTGAACATGCCCTGCTCCCTGCCATGAGCTTAGTTTGTTTTTAATCTCACTGTAAGACTATAATGAGATCAAAAGCAAATCCAGAATAATTCCACTGAAGTCAAGAATTCTATTTTCAAAATACTATTTGTGTAATTGAGATTTTGATTTCATCTGATACATGATTCCAGTTCCTTTTATTTTGCACTACATTTAGTGCAGGCTGTGTAAGGGGAAAAACTGAAACCAGTTGTTTGTATTCTACAGGGCATTTCTCAAAACTGCTTGTAAAATTCCACCAGTGAAAGGAAGTGCTGGGYAATGTGCCTTCCTCTAATCAAATTACCCTTATACATAACATTTTCTCTATGCATGATTTGGGATTTTTTTATTGTTGCCAGGTTGTAACTAGATTGAACTGCCTTGCTTATATATCTTATAAAAAGATACAATTCAAAGGCAGTTACCTAATAATACAGTAGCACCTTCTGGATCAAAAATTCRCTTACAATGACAGCACAGTGACCCATAGTGATATTGATAAGAAAATAATGGAATCTCTGCATTTCAGAAATTGCATGGAATTTTTGTTTCAAAAAAAGATCCCAGGCAGATGTCTGGGAGGCTGAGATTTCCTAAGTAAAACATTGAAAGCAGGCACRTTTCTAGGATAGTAAATTTAAACACCATGTTTCTGAAGAGCTCCACATAATTGTTAGTATTGCTATGGAAACTGTAGACCCTAAAATATCTTTAATATTCTGATTGTTGTCTGATTGTTATTCCCTGAGTTCACCCAAGCAGGGTATGTGCTTCACAGGAGATCTAGCAAAAATTTGTGCTAGGAAGGGGAGAGTGTCATATGTTCAGTACCTGCCTAAATATAGTAGTGGCTAAACACCTCAATATCTTCATTAACATGGGAAACTCTCCTAAATCCATTACTTATGCAAATAACTTCTGAAAGCTTTCCAAACCTAAGTCTGTGCTATTTGTAAAAACAAAGAAAGAAAGAATTCTGAATAGAATTTGCTRCTGCTTCAGTGTTAGCAAGGTGTTTCATCCTTCAAATTATTTTTCTTYATATGCATGAGGTTCCCTCTGGTGGATGGTCTGTAATTTACAACACCWCTGAGCATTTCCAGACAAATATGTTTGTATTCCTAAGTGAAAATAATAACAATACTTCCAGCTTCCGCGTATTTATTCTGAGGATCAGAAACTCACTCCAAGAAACTCTCCAAGACAAGAGACTTTGGGTCTKGCTGTATACTGCTATACTGATACTGCATAATGCATTCTTACAAGGAATATATGCACTGATATAATGCACTTACCTTTACTAGGAAGCTAAAGGTAAAAGCAATAACATATTGATGTAGTAGTATATTCTGTCAAATGTTCTGTGGAAAGTAACTTAAGAGAAGCCATGACCTTGAGGTACAGTGTATTTAAACACTCCAAGATAAGCACTTATACACACTTGTATAGGTGTCTTTTTTCTTCTTCCTGCTTCCATCCCTAGAAAAAACTCTGGGTCACATCTGTACTGCCCCTGCTCAGAGCACACCCCCTCCTCCAAGTAAYAAGAGCCCCCTTGCAAAGCCAGGATTGTATATGTATCAAAGCATGGTACCTTTCTATTGGTACCTTTCTTACTGTAGCAGAATGATGATGGACTGTCAAAACAACTTGCCAGCACTTGTGAAACTTAGTATGTGGCAAAATATTTTCCATGTAAATCAGACATACTAGGCTTATGACAGYAGAAGTTGTAATTAAAATGAGGACCTAAATTTATAGTTCTGAATACAAGCAGGAATATGAATAACAATTATGTAGAGATTTGAGGGAAAATTTTAAATATTTGCTCAATGGCATTATGTACTGTTTTTTAACTTGCTGTTATTTCTAGAAGAAGCTTTCAAGCAGTGTATATTTATATAATTTTTTACCATTAAGGAGGAGACTTGCTTGTTCTTTTATAGGTCACTAGCTGAATTTGTGTGCTGCTATCCAAAATTCTTATCTATATAAGCACATCTGGCAAAATAATTGCTGCTGGCTACATCAAACAGTGTTTACACACCCCTCCTTTGCAARTAATACATTACTCATGACATACTGCTGATTTATCTAAATCTACTGTCATTTCTACCTCACATATATGTTATATTGCTTCAACATCCTTATTTCATAGTAATTCAGCAGTTTAATGCAAGTGTTTGGTGGCRCCAGCTGCTGATGGAAGCCTGTATTGTGCTGTGTGTGCCCTGCACCATTAGATGGCAGCTGCTGTTTTGCACTTACATCAGGTACATACTGTTTCTTAGAACAAACTTTTACATAAAGGGACCTTCCCAGGTAGTAACATGTTTTACACAGGGGGAGGCATTAGGAACCTACTGTTCTTTCCTTGGCTAACACTGCAGGCTTGTGCCTTATCAAAACTATTCCAGGAAAGTGTTAAAAACCTTTCCCTGCACATGGTGCATGGTTGTTCAAGGCTGAGGTCCACAGAGCTGATCCTCTTGCATGGAAAAGTTAGCAGGCTGTAACTTAAAGGTCAATGCTGTTTTTTTTTTTTTTATCTCAGATAATGTTATTTTCTGGGAACTGTATTTTTAGCTCTCTTTAGCTGCTTTGATAATATGTCTGTTTTCAATGTGTTATGTTTTGCCCTCCCTAATATAAGAAGAGAAGTCTCCAGGATTAAAAACAACTAGGTGTCTGTTTTCATATTCCACTTCTCTGAAGCAACAAAGCGTGGGGAGTTTAACAATGATATGAATAACAATAGTTCCTCCAGGGCAGTTCCCATTAGTATGCGTTTTTGTAATCGCTTTGAGAAGCAGACCAAATTGTACTCTCACGCTGTGATACAACCCTGCTTTGCAGCTCTTAAGATCTGAGAAGCTTAAGAGCTTTATTTAATTGCTTTAGCAYATAAGCACTTTTTGAACACTAGCTTGGGCTCAGCTGTGATATAAAGTCTTGTTTTTTGCAGYCTCACATTAGGAATCTGGTGAAATGTGCTGCCAGGAGAAAGGCTGTGCTTGTTTTATGATCAGCAAGAGGATTTTCTTTGGCTCCGGCAGTCACCACAGACTGCTAACTAAAGTCACTTGCAGAGTAACACTTAAACCCTCAGTCACTTTGCAATCAGCATACCTGGTGTGTTGTTCTACACAGCCAGAGAGATGCCAGTGTCTTGTACTCTGTGGCTGGTTGGAATGGTCTTGTCCAGACATTCTTATCCTGAAAGAAAAAGTAATCAGGATTGATTCTAAGTACAGTAAMAGATGTTCACTAGTTATATATGTATAAAACACTGTATGGAAAACGTGTAAGACTTTGCAATGATGTTTTAGGCACTGGTGGTTTGCAATTTCTGTAAGGTGATCTGTTGCTTCTGTTGGACTTTTATGTAATACTAGAAAGGGCTGTGAATAGTGGTGGGTTTGCTATTAAATGAAACAAGCTTTTTTTTGCCAGGAAAAAGTCCCAGCATGTATAATTGAACAAATCACTCAGTGTTAGGCAGAAGAGATCTCTTTAGAATTGAGACATTTTACTTGATTAAAATCTAAATACAGATTTTAATAGAATGTGAGGCTATGAAGTCATTTGATTTCCTATAATATTTCTGCATTTGACTGTTGAGCCTAACATTCGGGCTTAAGCATTTTTATTTTTATGTTTCTAGTGTTTGAGTGACACCAAGAAGTTATTCTAGCCCAGTATTTTGTCTCTGCTGCTCAAAAGCAGGTGCACAAGAAGGAGCAAAACAAGCATGAATTCCCTCAAATACACTCAGGCTTTTAATCATTTATTGCAGAGTTGCTTGTGGAGCCAGATATGGAGCTGTCCTTGGACAACTTTGCAGATTTGGTAAGTCTGTCCTTCAACTCAGGTAAACTTTTAGCACCAATATGCTGTGACAAGAAGTTCAGCAGTTCTATTGCATGCTGTGTGAGAAAGCACCTTTTGTTAATTAGTCTTATTTGCTTCACTTGGTGCCTCTGAGTTCATGTGTTTGAAACAGAATAGTTGATCCCTCATCATTCTCTCAATACCAGTTATTTGATAAACCCCCATTGAACTCCCCCATCAGTCATTTCCTATTTTCAGACCAAAGAGTCTTTCCTTATGTAGAAAACGTGTCACACTTTTCAGCGTGTCTGCCTCTCTCCTTTTTTCCCTCTTCATCTCCCCCACTACWAAATGATAGATTTAAGTTTGAAAACATGGAGGCAGTCACAGACTTTACCTGAATTCCAGTGCTCTGTTTCCAGTTTTGCACAATATTAATGAATATTGTGCAAATTAAAGCTGAATTAAAGCTTAGGACTGACTTAGCTTATTTATAATGATGTAGTATTAAATTCTATACAATATTACATGAATGCTAAGAAGAATGCTCCCTGAAGCATTTAAAAACAGAATTTAAACTGAGATGGACAAGTATCTTTTGAAAAATTGGGTTTTTTTTGCATTATCTGAAAATATTAATCTGAGSACAACAGAAATAATCAGTACTATCTAGCAGCTTCCTAAAATAAGGGAACATATATGAAAAAAAGTGTGAAGATTTGAGAACTAWTTTCTCTAGATAATGAAGAAATCTTTGAAGTCTACACACACAGTAAGTTTGTCACAAGTTAGGATGAGGTCCAAGTAGAAGAGCTGAAATTCTCTCACAGCAGTATATAATACCCTGCAACAGGAAATCATGAGACCGATTTATCTGCCATATGAAAGCTCACACTTTGTTTTCAGCAGAAAATTGTCATATGATGATAATACTCATTTTCTGTTGCTTCTTAGGCTTGTAATCCGAGCAGCTTCGCTTCCAGCTTCAAGACCTTGTTAGCAAGATGATTCTCATCACGCTACTAAGAAGCTCCTTTGAGTTATTCCAGTAACACATTTGCAACATAGCACGGTAGCAATATTTAAAGCATTCTAAAATGTTTTTTCATTTATTTTGAAAGCTTTTGTTATGTTAAATCCCCTTTCTCAAAATATTAGATCAAGGAAATCTTGAGCAAGTTCTCTAACTTGTCAAGGATCTGAAATAGTTTTCCAGTCTCTGAAAATGTAATGTCTAMTGTGATAGGTTAACTGTCCCCTGTTTCAACTGCCCTTCATTTGGTGTTAATCCYAGGAGCCCAGGGACTAAGAGTGGAATCTTATTAGAATTGCCACCTGCTGAAGTCATTTGTAGTTTCAGATGCTGAACCACACTGTAAATCTCATGCTTATGTTCTGAACTGCCTGTTCATGGCTATAATCTTTCCTGTTTTGAGAGGGAACGGGAGGGAAGAGAATGGATCTGCAGTGAAGTATCATCACTTTTTCTAAGGTTTGTGCAGATAGTAATGAGAGCTATAAATTTACCTTATATCTCTGCTGAGTGATTAATGCCAACCCCTGTGATCAAAAGCGAAGATGTTAAATTTTTGAGAAGTGCATGGCAGACTATAAAGTCAGGTCATTTTATATTCCTGTTTTACTGTTTACTCAGTAGAACTATCATAACTACCCTGATGTAATTCCTGTGATAGTGATTTAAGCAGAGCCTGGAATAGATGATGTTCAAAGATCCCTTCCACACACTTAGATTTGCTATGATTACGTTTTTGCATTTCCATGTATGACACAGCCTGTGATGCAATGCTGCCCATAATTGGTTGGTGCTTCTATCATTTTCCCATGATTAGCCTTTCCCAAGTGTCTACGTCTCCTTCCTTGGAAGGAAACCATGTTCTTACCTGAATCATTGAGCAACAGTGTTCTAACATATCGTGCCCAGGGGATGGGATGGGAAGTGCTTGTGCCCAACAGTTCAAATGTAATTGTAGGCTGTACTCCTTCCTTTGAAAAGTCCAATGTAGCAGACTGGCTATTTTCACTTACAATGCACTGATAATCTAAATTCAGATCTGAACAACTAGACTTGATAATTTAAGTTTTCTTAAAAAAAAAAGTTAAATTCCATTAACAAAGTTTGGACTGTTTTATTTGCCTCTTGACTGCAGTCAGTTTTCCTTCTCATATCTACAGTTTACTGTGATGATCTGGATTTGAAGTATAGAAAATACGTGTGGGGGTAAGTCTATATATAATCCATCTCTGCTTCTAATAAGACTGTTTGCTTTATATGTATTGTACTGCATTGATGTTTCAGAACCAAAGAGCAGAATTCAAACAGCAAATGGAGTGGGGAAAAAAAAAAATTCCCTTGTGTTTTATAACTTGGTTAAAACAAACCAACTTTTCAGATCACTTTTGTGACCCCATGAAAGAGGGACTCCTAAATTGTCTCCTATTCACTGAAGAGAAGGCTCTCTAAAGCGTGATCAGTCAGATGGTTTTCCTTTCTTCAGTGTCTGAACCACTTAACAGGGAAAATGAGTAAATGGAACCCAATGAGGAAATACCAACATTCCTCTGGATGAACTACTAAATGACTTGCATGAATTTTACTTCTGGATAGACATTTCCAGAAATGTGCTCACTTTTGTCAGTAATTTACTAACAGCAGTATTTCTTTTCAGAAGTAGCTTAAAGTTAGCAAATTTCCTAAACCCTGTAATTTCTCAGTAACYTCCTCAGCTCAACTGAGATGTATCACTGGATGAAATTGCTTATTAATTAGAAGAATGGCCTCCTTGCCTCTTCATTATACACGTTAATCCTGAAGTGCTGCTGCTTGACTCATGCCATGTTACGAGCAAGATTTCTTTTGATGCTTTGCCCTAACCCTTATTACAGTCCCATACGAGATACTAGCCTTACAAGAGCAGTACGCTGAACTTCTGCATTAGCTCTCCTCTAAATCTACTTTTTTACAGCAACCTGATCTGAGGAGAAAAGAAAAGCCTCCTGGATAGTTTCTCTGCATAATAAAAAAAATGTCAGGGACTGTTATTAACACAACATGTGCTGGGAAGTTACYGTAATGTCTGGGAACTTGTGCAAGACAAAGTGTCCCTGAGGGTTCAACGTACCCAGTTTTCATCACAACATGGATCATATTTTCAACTTGTTTTCTGAAATATCCCTCCTATATGAATGTCATCTCCTCTTTCTATCATCTTGCTACTCTATTTTTATTATTACTTTTATACTTATTCCTTGTTCCGTCTGTTATGTTAAAATTTTCCAGTGATCTCGCTCCAAGTATCAGTTTTGAGTAAATCCAAAKTACAAACAGAAAACACACAGCATTTTGTTTAGAAGGTTTCCCTGATTCTACAAAAATTCTCTGACTTAACAGATATTTAGCAATTAAGTATCTTAAGTTTTTGTTTCAATAAGAATGAAGGATTTTAGAACTCAACAATAGAACTGAAAAAGATAGACAAACTTTAAGTTAACATAAGGTATGAAATGTCATTGGATCTTAGTAATCAAAGTTAGTCATAAAACAGGCGCTTTTTTTAGAGAAAGCATAATCTTTGGTAATTGAAAGGATTTACTTTTTTCAGCCTATTACATTGAGAAGAAAGGTGAAGATAAACATGTGTTATGTGTCTGTTTTTCAGAGATATTTTATAAAAGTATTACTGAGTTTCTAGGGATGTAGTCTCTTAGCCCAAACATCTGAAAAATTGGCCTGGAATGATGTCATAACYGTTGCTTTTTTGTGTTCTATTTGTGAATGTCAGTTGGGGGCAATGGAAGTTCTGCAGGTAATTGGCTGTCATGGATAGGTATAGGTTTRCAAAAGTCTAGAAGATAAAATTTTGCAGTGGATTTTTGCTGATAGGAACACTCAAAATGTCATTATTTCTTTTATGTGATACATACGATGTAAGAGGAAGGTAGATTTCCAGGAACACACAGCAGCAATATTTTTCTTCCTAAACGATAATATACTGTGTGACTCTTGGTAAACACTGGGAATGTGTACTTCAAGGAAAAAAGTCTCAATTTTCCTTACACTTTTCTCTGAAGCTCTGTTGGATGCATTATGAGCATTAATTGATCAACTGAATCAAAAAGGTAAGCTAGGAGAGTAATATTATCTCCATTACCTTAATTAAAGGTTTGAACCTAGGAGAGATGACAGGATCTATTTACTGTGGATATTCAACCTTATGTGTCTCTCTTCCTGCTCACTTCCCTGCATGTCCAATTTGGTCCTTCTTTCTGGCCCTGTTTTGTACTTTAATTTCTGTTTGAAATAGACTGAGGAATGATCTTCTGTCTCATTTACTGCACTAATGATCGCTCATGAGAGTGTGAGGAAGTGAGCATGAAGTGCTGAGGAAGCAGGGTAAAGRGAAAGGAAGGGAAAATATCCTTGCAGCCTTGGTTTAAATGCATGTCACGYTATGTCCTGGGACTGTACAACCACATTTGCAGGTGAGTACAGCTTGAACTTGTAACAACTGTTGTGTTTACRTGGGAAAGGCTTTTTAAAGGTGTGGTAATCTAACAGTAAGTTAAAACAAACCCTTGCAAAAATACAAAAACAATAATCTCTTCAGATTGATTAGAAGTGAAACCTTCTGACTGATTTAACAAAAATTGACAGAATTGAAATGAGTGTCTGGRATATTTGTGGAACATCTTTATGTGAAGTCTTACTCTGAAGAAACATGATAAAATAGAAAGCCCCTTCCCAATGCACTTTTAGAGATTTGGAGACAAGTGCTTGTTTATGGCTGTTGTCTATTCAGCTCAGCAACAGCACTTAACCATTACCACAGGCAGTCTCACATGTACTAAAAGCAATTATTTTGAATAGGTGCAAGTGACTTCAACAGGGCCTAAAACCACTCTTGAGAAGGAAGGAGTTATATTCCCTCCTCAAGTGTTTTACRCTGCTATTTCAGACCACAGTATCGCTATTTTTCTGTCTATGATAATAAGCATCTTGTTTACTACAGCTTTTACCTGCTTCTGATCTAAGGGGCTGCCATGTGCTTCTGTTGTCATTTTCAAAGTCAGATTCTGGATCTCAGGCATAGCTTTTATTGGTGCCAATGCTTCCTCTGTAATAGAAATGCATTATTAGGTTAGCTGGTAAAACCTTGAGAGATGGAAAAGTTAAAATAGCACGTTTCTGAAAGCATGATGAATGACATTGCCTTAACATATTCTGGAATTGTATGTGTCTGAATCAAAAACAGCAGTACTGGGGAAAGTTGTGACATGGGTATCTGCCTGCACGGTAGTCCTGTGTCAGTACTTTGGTGTTTTTCCTTGAAAATTTGCCTCCATTGTGAAACATACACCAGTATTTCTACAAAGTTGTCATTGCTTAATCAGTAGATAGTATATAACAGCAGTTGCTTATTATGTTAAATATTTGTTTCACTTATTCCTGTCATTCCTGATGTGCATTATCCTTATTTGCTAATAATATACACCTTTGGGGCAAAGCTKCTTTTCTACTACTGTGTCAAGTGAGCACAGTTGTGTTTGAAGGTATTTGAGCCAATACAAACACTACTAAATGGCAAGGATCAAAGGCAAACAGAGAATTCTGTTCAATTAAATAAAAGATGTTTAAGCAAATACTAGATTTCTGGATAGGAGTGGTTTTTTTAAATAATCAGTGTGTGAACTCATACCCAGTTTGTGGATTTTTTTGGTCAAGTTGCTAGTGAAGCCCTCCACGGAGTCTTAAAACAAACTGAAAATTGAAACTGATGTTCTRGTTTCTGGCATTCAATACAATATAGTTTATTTCATAAACTAGTTTGGAATTAAGTAAAGACTACCTGGAGAACTGATTAAAACAGATTTTAAAAAAAAAAAGAAAAGCTGTGRTAATGAAGTGGCCTCTGGTTAATGAGGCTTCCTCATGTCATGTGAGGACACACAAGTGAAAAACAGTCACTTGTGAGTGTCATTTTATACCAGTTTCCCTTCTCATTTCACTGCAGATCAGATCTGTTTTAATGTTCCTTGAATTTTTCTAGGATTCTAMTTCTAGGAGATTTTAACAGAATTCATGGTTCCTAACTACTGTTGGTCTGCACATTTCCTGCTGTCAGATCATTCTTTGTGGAGAAAAAGCTAGACTGCCCATTTTAACAGACCAGCCCAAAATACTATGGTGTTATTCTGTGTTGTCTTCATTAACAGTAGACTATCGTCCCCTGTAAAGCAATGCTGCAGGGCTCTTAGGAAGGTTGGGGTCCTTCCTGTTTGCTGGCATAAGTGACAGTGTGCTCAGCCACTCTGTGCTTTTTCTGTATGAAAACACAAGTGTGCTCTGCATATTTAAACAACCTGAGGAAGGCAGAGTGTTTTTCATTGTGAATAATCCTGATGTCCCAGAAGGAATGCAAGGAATAACCAACATACGCTATTAGATTGTGTGAAAAGATGATTATTTAAAGGCTTGAAGGGCAGAAGGTGTGACCATTATGTGCTTAGAAGGATTTTGCTGGAAAAAATTAAGAGGTAGAGTGTTTCGTAATGTAAGGATATTCTAAGTTTTCAGGCTAAAGCAGAGATTTGCTAGCAGAAATATTAAGATAGGGCTGAATTAAGTATAGATATGCCTGTGTGTGATATCAYGAGATGAAGAAATAGAGGAAGGATTATGAAATTGGCATGTATTTGATAACCAAAATGCAACAGAGAGCAAACCGGTAACAACCGAGGAAAGTGGTATTTATACCACGACCGAAAGGCCCGTACTCTGATGTGCCTGCTGCAGAAATGACTGATCAGCCTAAGGCCTGCCCTCTGATAAGAGGAAAAAGGCAAGAGGTTGCAGCAAACTGTGTGTGCTGCTCCTCTTTTTGTTGGCTCTGCAGGAAGCAAGGCTGTATTTGCAAAAATCCTTTGAAAGGAAGGCACAAAGTAGTCAGTGAGCTTGCCTAAAATTTACAGAGGGTGAATTAAACAAGATTAAAGCAAAAAAAAAAAAAAATCACTGAACTGCTCTCCTAACTGGTATAAAAATCAGTTCCCAGCCTGTTTTCTCAGACAACAAAATGCCACTTGGCAGCTGATGTCCCTGTACCTCATGTTGCAATGCAAGTGATTATGGCCTATGTGGACACACGCATTTGGTGCTTTTGAGTGTAAGAGTATGAGTGTGAATGACAGAAATAGGTGTTCTTTAATTACTGAATTAAATGTCTTTCCCCTGTATTTTGAATCCTTTAGTTCCTACACCAGGACCAATGTTGCAACCAGTTTAATAGTCTGTCATACTTGCACACCTAGTAGTTTTAATAGAAGGCAATTTAAAGTTAGCACTCACGTAGTGACTAAGCACCTGTCTTTGGGGTTGTGACATATTGTCACCTTTCCACTTACTGTAAATATAAGAGGTGGGGTGGCTGGCTGGGCAAAGGCAATTCTGGGTGTAGGCTTAGATTTCTTGAGAGATTGTTTTCTTGCTGTTTCAGGAGGAGGAAGGACATGTCKTCTTCCTTCCCCGCCAATCCAGGCCGTTACCCGTTCTGTGTCTGTTTTTCCAGTCCCTGCCCTCATGCACAGATCATGTTCATAGCTGTTTCTGCATGGAAGAGCTGCTGCAACCTGAATTTGCTGAGGTGCAGGAACAGGCTCAGTTTTATACCCTAAAGCCTAAGTAGGTGGCTGGATGAGAAGTGTTTTTCTGCCTCTAGTTGTCTCCCATYGTGGCGCTGGTGCCAAGTGCTGCTCTGCTCATTTCGTTGCTGTTTCTGCAGGTGTGTGAACCCTTCCCTCTTCCCCTTCCAAACCACCCACCTACCAAAGGCTGCATGCTTCAAAATGAGCAGCAACCCCTGCCAACTGCTATTGCCAAATCGCCATTGCTTCTGTGTCTCTACGAGCCTGTAATTACAAGCCYGTTCCTGCTCTGTGCATGAAGGTCTAATGGTTTCTTTTCTGACGGTTGCCAAACGCCCAGTCTCGATGACACCACGTAGCAATTAGTGTTAGGATTAGCGAGGCCCTGCTTGGGAAGCTTTTTAATCGGGGTACCCGCAGCTTCGCGCGGCGTTTTCCGCCGGAGGCCTCGCTGGGGCGCGAAGCGAAGCGGCCGTTAACGGCCGCCCCTCAGCGCGCGCGGCCGTTAACGGCCGCCCCTGGGCGCGCTCGGCCTGCGACTGAGCGCGCCTGGGCGGGCCGCGGCGGGGCGGG